ATAAGCAATTCCGTAAGCTGTGTGATGTATGCTGACCTTCTATAACCGTCTCTGACCTTCTCTAAAAAGACCACGTCGTCACTAATAACTAAACCGCTGTCTTCAGGCACCGTGGATACGTGAATGAAAAGATATTACGTAATTAAATGCTACCCACAGGAGTTCAAAATATAGAGCGACAATACATGTTTGTATTCGAAGATCTCCTAACCATCCTAACTAACTGAACAATCTAACCAGTAGACATCATTGTAGCCTTAAATAATATCTATTGTCAACCATAAACATGAAGAACTATAAAAGTACGACTGAATATACAAAAATACATACATAGAGAAATTAATGGGTAGACGTGCAATAAAGCAAACTAATTCAACTTAGAGATTGGACTAGACAGCACTGTTATGTGTCTGTTGATTGTTTGCCATTATTTTCCTGTCCATTGCCAGGATACACCAATACTTTCACACTCAACCCATATTTCTCCGTATTAAAAACTCAATAAATCATTTTTTTATATTATTAAAAACTCTTAAGGTTGATTTTTTTTAAATGATAAATATCTGCACATAAAATGAGAAACAAAAGTTTGTCGCAATTTATCTACACATTTCAAGTTGTTCTTTAGATAAAAAATTTAAAACTATTAAACGATATATTTTTTTATTAAAATTTAAACATTTTTCTGGCAACTGAGTCACGGAATAATTTTTCCAAAACAATAATTTAAACACTTCTTAGCTTACGTAAAAACAATAAAAGAAATTAAATTCTTTTAAATGGTTTGTAATTACGATTGTATTTTATCTATTACGTATTTTGTTTATTATTTTATTTATTATTGTATTTACGATAAGGAAATTAAATAAATTTGCATAGTGATTTACTTACGATCAAAATTGTGGCAATAGATTCATTTAGGAAATCAAATCTTAATTTAGGAACAGATTTATTTATAAGTATTATCGGTAATTATAGGTCAAGTTTTATTTATGATTTGATCACTAAGATTGTTGACGGCGTAACCTTAACCTGATCGTAACAATTCTTGATTTTACAGCACAGATAAGGCTTCTAACTCTAAGCTAATTTAAAAACACCACGATAATGCACAGGCATAGTGCATTTAACATTTTGCACGCTAGATACATATGGAAAATATATATTTGAAATTACAGCTAATTTTAAATTATATTATGTGCTTTAGAAATGAGTAGGTATAATATTTTTACTATAGTTTGAGTTGCTTTTTGACAATTTTAACCTTGCCTAACAACCTTACAATTTTTAGCACCGTAGTACTCTAGACAATTTAAACAATTTGAGCGACATAGTAAAGTGCGTGATTCAAGTGCATGAACTGTCGAGGATGGAAACGTGTAGTTGTGCCGGTCGTCAAGTTGTCCGATGATGGTAAGGATGAAGGACCAAATTCGTGCAATTGCGACACACTCCAAAACGCAACCTGTACAGAACCAAGAACCTTGCGCATGTGCTCATGATTAGATTATTTTTTAACAAATAGTAGTAGGTCACCCCTGGACCTCTTTGAACCATTTAACTAGCTGAATTATAGGAACTATTAGAAATTTGGAAACGCATCCTCAGCGGAAGAGCAATTGCACTGACTGGGCGGCTGTTGATTTTTTGAAGTTAGACGCGGTCTCAAGAACATAATTATACCACTAGCTGACCCGAGACGTTGTCCTGTACACACGACTTAAATCCGACATCTTATAAATAAAAAAAACAGTTGCAGTGTTTCGAATCTACTTGAATACACACAAAAATTTTCATTAAAATCGGTCTTCCAGCCGTTTAGGAGTTCAGTGAGATACACACGTACAGAAGAATCTAACGAATCTTTATCCTATATATAAATATGTAAAGATTCGTACTAAATCTTCGGGTGCCATGTGCCAGAGGGTATGGGTTCAATCCCCAGTATAGGAAAATTTTTGTGTTATGAACATAGTATTTTTATAGCTATTATATCCAAAAAGTAGTTATTACCAAAAAGTTGAGGAAGCAGCTCCAGATAAATTGATATCCAGATAAACATTTATGACCACAAACAACCGACGACGAATAACGACCCGAATGGCGCTGTGGGTAGTGTACCTGCCTCCTGCACCATAGGGTGTGAGTTCGATCCCCAATATTGGATAAATATTGTGTGATGAACATAGTATTTTTCTAGGGTCTGGGTGTTAATATATGTATAATATGTATTTATTTACAAAAGAAAAGTGTGTTTAAGTATGTTTATCAGTTTTCTAGTACCCATAGTACAAGCTTTGCTTAGTTTGGGACTAGAGAATGTGTCCTAAAATATTTATTATTATTAAACAGAGTACTGACAGGTTTATCTTTGTTAGTATATTGTTCTGCAGTATATAAAAGCTACGGGAATACGACAACTAACGTAGGTACACTCATCTGTAGATGAAGCGAAAGACACGTCAGACATCAGTTTCGATGAAATTAATAATCGTAAAGATTTTAAGAATTAATATTTTCTATTTATCTTAGATATCTAGAGGTACCGGCCGTGTGTTACGAGTTTGTAAAATTGAGCAATCCCCATTTAATTCTTTACACTTATATATATCTTACCTATGATCTACATCTTATATTATATTTGCAAAACAAAAAATCACCAAGATAAAAGAAATGCTTAGGACCATCGTTTCATAGATAATTTCCTGTAACAGATGATTTTACACGATTGATCCGATACCATAATATAATTCAAAGATATCTTTATCTATTTTGTATATGACGAAAAACAATAAAAGCGTTCGTAGTTTTAATGTCTTTTGTTACCGTGGTAAATTACAGTATAATCCGGACAACGCACGCCCTTTGAATATGTAATACTAACAATAGTTAGCGATTTTAAAACATTTGACTTCCAACGTATAATAATTTTCATTGTAGCAAGATTTTTATGTGAAAAGTTGTCATGCGAACAAGGTATTTCACCTGATCTTAAGCGACTACCGCCACCCAAGGACATCTACAACTCCTGAAAACTTGCAAATCCGTTAACAATCTTTAAAAAAGTGGACACTGGCCACCTCACAGCCTATATGAAACGCAATAGTATATTGCGTATAAAACAACAAGAAAAGAAAAGCATACTTACATTTTTCTGAATGTGAAAGCCAATTTTTTTTATCCATATAATCACCGTGTCTATGATAAGGAGTAAAGAAATACGAAGTAATTAGATCATTTGCAATTTAGATTGCCAGCAAATAAAATCTATGAAATGTAATTTCATGCAAAGTCACAGGTAGGTTACCCGTTTGCAAATAGAATATTGATGAAACTGAAATTATTACGTTCATCTTTTCGTTTTGCTAAGCTTTTTATCTAGTTTTACTTTTCGTAGAATCTGTGGAATTAACATTTTTTTTAATAATCCTATGCATTTCAATTACAGAAATTTCTTCAAGTTGAATAGTAAACAGCTGCATAAAACGTGTCTATGGCTGCATTATATTCAAGTTTGCATGCTTTAACACCGTTCTCCTATTACACTGCGCACATGGTTAGATAATAGAACCTTTTACATAATACTAGATAACATATTTTGTAAGACAAGAATGCGTTTTGTTCAGCAGAAACAAAGTCAAGCGATTATCTTGACACTCATAGAGCCTTTCGTACCTATGTGAAATCCGGACCGATTTATTTTTGCCTACTACTTAATTATTTTTAATTAAGCAACATAAAGCATCCCATACTTTCGTCACTTAGACGTGGAGAAAAAGCAAAAAAATTAAAAGATTTTTGCAAACACCTTTGGGCGCCAATATTTTTTTGTTATTCTAATATACCCAATGACATTCGCGCGCGCATTAACGACGAATCTTAACATAATAATTATGTAGGTACATATCATTCATTAAAATCGGTTCAGCTGATTATTTTCACGTTTATATGTCTATAGTTTGTTTTAAAAGGTTGAAAAGACGATTGAAGACGATAAAACTAAAACTTTCGATAAAATACCATAATGTTCATGAATAACTTGCGTTTTGTCTAATCTGTGATGTAGCCAGGGCATACTGTTATTTAAAGATTTTTAACGCATTTGCAAGCTCTCAGGTGTTGTTGATGTCCAAGGGTGGCGGTAGTCGTTTAACATAAGGTGAAATAACTGTGCGCTTAACAACTTTACACGTAAAAAATAAATATCTTGCTAATGAAAACTATTATGCGTTGAAAGTCAAATTTTTTATAATCGCTAACGATTGTTAGTATTACGTATTCAAAGGGCCTTGTTGGTGTTATACTATAATTTACCACAGTTCATACTTACATACATATAGGTCAAGCATATAGGCATCCGTTTTTGGCTTCACCGAAGTACAATAAATTTACTATAAATAATGTCACTGCATTACTAGCCCAAGACTTAAGAATTTTAGTTTTTTCGTTTTAACCTAAATTTAAAATTAAAGTAAATGAAAATATAAACATTTTTTTAAATATCTGATAATACATTTTGAAAAATAATTTTCCATTTATAACCAGAAAATTATGGAATTGGTTGTTTCGTCAACTGAAGTTGAGCTCCATGGTGTGACTTCGAGCCCTGAACGTGACAAAAGTTTGTGTGGTTCAAAACTCTTGGATATTCGGTTTCGGTGGATTATGTGTCCGTGCGCGTATGTTGGTAAAATGGCTACAGATGAATGTAAAAAATTTTTTTTGCCTAACATTTCTATTGCTATTAAGGAAAGCTTGGTTTGGGACGGGTCAGTATGCCTACAAAATTATAAAATATACAATTAAAGAGATGATTTTCTTCATGTTATTAAAATGGCGACACGAGAAAGTAACAGTTTCGGTTTCCGAAGTTGCGTTTCTCAGTTAGTCCTCTTTCATAGGCAGAGCGAGCGTTACCGATAATTATTACGCAGCGCATAATGCAGTGGGGCGTACAGAATGTTACGAGCCCAAATCATTGACATGCGACAATCTATTTGATGAGTAAATGGTGCAATTACGATGGAAAGCGTAGAGGGGCTGAGCGTGGCGCGGCGCGCACGGCGAACGCAGTGGTCCGGTGGAGCGCGCGCGTGCGGCCCGCTACCGACGTCCCCCTCGCGCGCTCCGCTTCCGCCTCAGCGCCCGCGCTCGCCTCCGCTCCGCGTCACACAACGCGCACTTATAAAGCGGAGCCCCCGCGCTCACTCGCACGCAGTCACGACCTAACCGCGTCCTCTCGTGCACCATCCGGCTTTCACGCGTCTGACACAAGCGAATCCGTTATCAGTGGGCCGAGCACCGCGGCGGCAATGGCTGATCACGAATGGGGATACACCGGCGCGAACGGTGAGTTTGCTTCTTTCCTCAAGGCACCCGACCGACACAGCACTGAGCGCCGTGGACCGGTTTGTTTACACCGTAGCACGTGACTGAATGGATGTAAATAACAGTTTTTTTTTAAATATAAACTTGCGGTTTTTTATTTTGAAGGATAAATAGAAAATAAATACATTTATGATGACTAAGTGTTGTTACGTAAATATATCAACAAAAATATGTATCATTTTATCTTGAAAGACACCTATAACTTAATTATACTTAGAAATATTGTTAGATTCATTCATCTATTGTATTCTTTGAAATTAAGATATTTAATGTGAAATATATTTCATATTTTTAAATAATATAACGGCAAATTCTTATCAAATTATATTAATAAATATTATTCCACAGTCCACACCATTCACAACAGTTTCACGGTAGTTAAAATATTTGTGACGTTGCTTTTTGCGGTTGAAGATCTTTTGTTTTCTTTTGAAAATAATATCATTGTAGGTATATTGACAGTTTCATAAATGCCGGTAATAATAAGTTTTAATTTCTTACGTTTACTATATTCGATAGATATTATTTACGTTTTGATTTGGCACCGATTGTAGTAATTCGAACCGAAAAGGTATACAGTAAAGTGTTGGCCCACTTAATCGTTTCTGTAACAAAGCCGGTTTAAAGATGGCCACGACACGTTCACTGCACTATTCACATTTAATTTCATGAATGCATTAATGATTAAATACACACATAAACTACAATGTCACATATTTTAGGTAACAATATTTTTGTCACTTAAACCAATTTCAAAGGATAAAATTTTTAGAAAAAAATGGGCGAAATACTATATTGGCCAGAAAGTTCTAAATTTTAATTTTTCATCTGAAGTGTACAGATTAGCACCATATAAATTTAAAAATTCCAATTTGAAAGAATTAAATAACTCTCAAATATCTATCACGTATAAACGCCTCGATGTCTGTGCTAAAAGCTTATTTGTAAGTAATTTTATCATTTTAAAACAAACTAGAATCTAGTCTACAAATAAACACTGTAGAGAGGCCTGAATCTTGTGTAAGCCGAATAATATAAACTCAAAATCCCATCAAAATCATGTCCCACTGCTGGGCAAAGGCCTCCTCTATATAGAGGGTATCAGGGCATAGTCCACCACTTGGGCCCACTGCGGATTGGCGGACTTCACATATCTTCGAAATATATATATTTTTTTGTTATTATTTCGAAAATATCCAGGTTTCATCACGATGTTTTCCTTCACCGTGGAGCACGTGCTGAGACAGCACTTAAAGTTAAAAACTTCATTGGTGCTGGCACCGGGGATCGAACTCAGGTTGCTCGAGTATATTGAATTAAAGGCGAGCGCCCGGACACTGAGCTATCACGGCTCTTTACCCCCCGGCTTTGCACGAATTTAATTTATTATACATATAAACCTTCCTCTTGAATCACAATCAATCAATCCGTTGCGTAGTTTTAAAGATCTAAGCATAAATAGGGACAGACAGAGCGGAACGACTTTTTTTTATACATCACATTGTATTTGTATTTTTAATTGTTCATATGAAAAATATGTCATTTTTCACATCAAAAAACGTGGTACGTTACAGTACGTACGTAACTTACTGTACGCTATTTGGTATTTTTCATTGTAGTTTGAAAAATTCATTGCATAATATTTTTACAGAATTTTAATAACATGTTGAAAAGTAAGAACAAACAAATTTAAATAACAGTAAACAACCGTATTATAAAGGTAGAGTAGAGGAAATGAAAATAAGAAAAATTGTAGAAATATATGACTAAATAGATAGATAATAGCAATTGACGTGATTGCTATTTCCAAGCTTATAGACTTGAATATTGTTATGATAATTATCTTAGACCGTGCTAAGTGTCAAATTTGTCAATTTGAAATGCTTGTCATAAACCAGAGCGTGGTGAACGGATACAGATTACAGATTCGAAAATTCTAAAAGAAAACATTTAATCAAACTACGTATTCTTGCCATGCATTACAAATGAAGCCAACTTTTTTTCCATAAGGTTGTAGCAATGTTTCTTAATATATTTTGATTTACGTAAGCCGTAATTTCTATTTTTATTACTATATTTAATTAATATCTATTCATCCATCCCTTCTGTATTGGTAACGGAAAAGCATGGATAAACCTCGGTAAAAGTTCAAAAGTAATTTAATGATGATCGAATATCTATTTATCCGCCGCTTTGATTCAAAACCAGGGGTTGTGAACATCAACGTGATCTTCATTTGTGATTCAATGTTTTTACATCTTTTTTGTAACAACATTTAATCTTTTATGAATAAAATTTTTTGCAATAACATTTGTTGCCTACGATGCGTTTGCTTTGCAGTATACCCAATCCGAAACAAACCCAGCAAGGCCTTAATAAAAATTGATTAGTAAGCATATTTGTTTTGTGTAAAATAAAACATCAATTTTTAAAGCTTATTTTCTCTCTTTTTAAACTGTTGTCACAGAGAGATGGATTAGTATTTTAAATACATTAAGCTGTTGTATTTGACAGTACACACTCACGTTTCCACCATCGTTTTAAAAAAATATATAGTAACACTCTTAATTTATGTAATTTTAATCAAGACCCTAATAAACATTTTATACCTTGACCTTTTTACATCGAAATCTCTTATAAAGACTACAGATTCAAAGTTTAGTTAAATATAGCATAGTCCACCATGCGAACCCACTGAGGATTGGTAGATTTTACATATCTTCGATTTTTTTTAATATTGCGTAAAAATTACGTTTCCACACAATTTTCCTTCACCACTGAGTATATGATAGGTTAGCACTTAAAATCAACAATTTCATTAAAACTGGCACCGGGATTTGAACTCAGGTTGCTCAAGATATTTAATGAAAAGCGAGTGCCCGGACACTGAACTATCACGGCCATGGACCCCATTGATGTTTTGATTCTATTCGTACTTTCATTGCAATAGTAACTAAGTTATTAAAACAAACATAAACAACATTTTAATAGCAATATCAAATTTCTATGGAAATTAAAAATTGTTCAACTCTTTAAGTGTGAAAGTACCTTTTTGATAAAATAACTGTGATAGTATCAACATGTCTTAATCACCTCTCTTGAGTACTTTAATCGGAATCGTTATCAGAAATTGTATTTCGTATTATGAGTTCCAGGTGGTGAAAATATTAGTTTTAGTAAAGCATTAATCATAATAAAAATCAATAAATAGTTTATCAATAGTTTGACTGTTAAAATACACCTACGAAATAATTATGTCATCAAATATGAACTACAAGTATATAAAATATAAAAATTAACAAAAAATCTAAGTAACATGAAATTTTGTAGGTTATAATGACAGTTGTATCTTTAATAATAAATAAATAAATAATCGCTCGCCTTTAATTCAATATACTCGAGCAACCTGAGTTCGATCCCCGGTGCCGGCACCAATGAAGTATTTAACTGTGCTGACTTATCACGTGCACCGCGGTGAAGGAAAGCATCGTGAGGAAACCTGCATATTATCGAAATAATAACAAAAGAAAATAATTCGAAGATATGTGAAGTCCGCCATTCCGCAGTGGGGCCGCGTGGCGGACAATGCCCTGATACCCTCTGTACAGAGGAGGCCTTTAACCAGCAGTGGGACATGTATAGGCTGTAACTTTACTTTCACTTTAAATATTTTAGGACATATATTTTTACACGAGGTAATATAGTGCCAAACTAAACAAACCTTGTACTATGGGTACTAGGTAACTGATAAACATACTTAAACGTACTTTTCGTCTAAAATAAATACATATTATAGATATGTAAACACCTAGGTACTAGAAAAAGACTATGTTCATCACACAATGTTTTTCCAGTAGAGGAGACGGGGTCACTATCCACTACGCCAATCGGGTCGTATCAAACTTAACTAATTTTTTTCAGCCTCCAGTAAGTAAATTGTGATTTTATTTAGATTACTTATTTACAAACTATACTTAGGAATAATGTGGGCTAAGCATCTTGAAAAGTTATTATATCCATTGACTGGTAGAGAATGCCACTAGGCATTAAGTCCGCCCATTGTAGCCTTTAGTCTAAGGTGTAACAATGAAGTATAAATAAATAAATTAATTAATTAACTCACAGAGCTACCCATTTCTTATAATGAGAGAAATTTTACGACTATAAAATGCAGAACATTAATTCTAATACGATTCTCATTTCTCATTAATTTAACTTTGGATTTGTCCTTTGAACTAAGACAAATTAATTGGTCGTCGCGTCCGTGTTCTTTATTTACCTGAAATGAACTACCTATGTATTACAAATGTAATATAAGCATTGCCAAAATTATTTGCCGTTATTTTTTAATAACAACAACACTTAAATGTAATCAGCCAGGCAATTATTATCGAATAATGAGTTAGCGGCGTTTCGTTTAAAAAAGCTACTCACTTCCTACTACGCTAGCAATTTAACTTAGTAAAACGTTTCTTAGTGGTGTTGATGAATTGCGCTGAAGTTGTAAAACACAATTTGAAAATGTTCCTTTCATACCACCGTAAATTCTTTAAAAATGTGTAGTTTTAGAAGTTAAAAAAGTAAAAGTCAAGAGATTAGTCTTCGGTCACCCATGCTCTTTGTTTCTAAGTAATACAAAAACTTATCGTCAGATATTAATTGCGTCATTAGCTTTTACGAGCGGATAATATACAGGCAGATAAAATTTCATAGATTTTTCAGGTAGTTACAGTTCGTACTAACTACTTCCTAAGAACGCCAGAATCGCCTAACAACTTGCTGGTTGTGTATAGTTAAAAGAACAAATAATATTGGCATTGAGATTACGTAATCATCAGTTTATGAAAATATTGTTTTACTCACAGAAAGTTGATTGTTATACGACTTCGACTACTATTCTATAAAGTCTAGTTTGAATCCTAAGTGAATTGTTTGTTTGGAAAGCATTTAAGTAATGCAGT